CACACACACACACACACACACACACACACACACACACACACACACACACACACACATTTTGGTCCATCAGAGCATTAAAAACCACATTGCATGTAGGTGTGTTGTGTTTTTAGGATGTTTTATTCTCCAATAATGCAGTTGATTAGAGGTAGGCTCAATGCATACGGTAAATAAACTGATAATGATTACTAACCATTAAGACTGTGTTCAACATACAACTCATCTGAGGGAGAAAGACACGTTTTTCAATGTATTTTTTTAAACATTAATCACACTTTCTACATACATGCATGTAGAAATGAAAGTGGAAACTTCTGCTCATGGATACTTTTTAATTTACAGCAAAGTTTCTGCTGAATTTGTGCCTCTTGCCGACATGCAAACTTTTTTTTTGGCGACAAAAATGGAAATGGAATGGTTTGTGGTGTGGCTGTGTGCTGAAGATACAGAGTGTTAAATAAATTATCATAACTGTTTTATGCTTGCTTGTTGTCATTTTGTGCTCAGGAAACCAAAGCACTGGAAGAGCTTTTTTTTTTTTTACAGTTTTTTTCATGTCAGCCTGATTTTAATTTAAAACTGTCACCATCACGCTTTGATCCTGCCTGAAATGGTTAAATCTTGAGAGTAAAACGTGAAAATACCAAGAAAAACAAGTTCTAATTGTTTTGAGAGAGTCTTTAACCAAATGCTCTTTCTCTGCATCCTCTTCTTTTTGTTTTGTTTACATTTCACACAGAGTAAGCTTGATGCTCCTGCTCCACACCTTGTTTCCTGGTCTTGGTTTATTTTTGTTTGACAGGCAGGCCTGGCATGGTTACTGTTGTAGTGAAATGTACTGGGGCCTGAGATTCAGGGAAGAGATTTGACAAACCTTTTCATTTTTATTCATCTTAACTCAGAAACCAGGTTACATACTTTTGATGTGGGTGGGATCTATTAAATGTATGTGAAGAAAAGAAAACCWAGAAGAGGTGTGCAGAGTTTTTGCAGAAACAAGCTCATATTCCCCAATAATACAACTGTGGCACCTTTGACCCAGTCACTATGATTGAYACAAATATTGATGATTTTGGTTGTGTGCATGAATGTCAATGTCGGGTTTTATGAGTATTCCTTTGTTATGATTATTTTACCAACATAGCAAAATTTGTCTGGCCCAGTTCTGGCCCACACAGCGCATCAACTCTCTAACACTTGGCTCTGATACCATTAGAAGTGACGACCCTTTGGTGGCCCAGATGTTGTTTGCCATATGATCCATGCACGGGCCAGCAAAAYWTAAACCAAACCACAAYTGGGCCAGTCGTGGCACACCATCTTGAAAACCGTGCTATCATTGCCAGACCTGGTCCACATCCATTTGACAAAGCATTACCAGCAGTCAGCCAGCAGTGCCAGCCTCACACCAGATTTGGCCCACACCTGTCTGCTTTGTGGGATTTTATTTGTGCTGGAGAACACCATTTAAGGAATTTGCACGGACCATCCTTTATATCAAATACTCTCTGACCAGATATGTTACAAACCAGAACACTTAAATTAAGATGTTTGTTGGTGCTTCACTAACTGACTAAACCTAGTCCAGATCTGGTGCCTCCTCACCTTCAGTTTCGATGTGATCTCCGGGCGAATCGTTCTCTGTGTTCAAACTATTCAGTATAATTTCCCAGTTCTGGAGTCTGCTGTTTGAATGTCTATCCCATATGTTGACAGTATCCTATAGTCCAGGAGGCTACTCTGTCAGCTTAGTGTGTTTTTTTCTTTTTTTTATCTCTGCGATCGTCACTGATCCAGTTTGTCTTTGTTTCTCTCGTTCACGCTCTCTTTTTCTTTTCTTTCCTGATAGCGATGGGTGTTGAGGCTCCACTTGTTGCCCCCATGAGCTGGTGGGTTCATAAGGCAAAGGGCAGTGATCTTTCAGGGTTCATGGCCCCTGGACTGCATGACACAGCATCATCCCAGACCTGGTTTAAAGGTGTTGAGCGTGGCAGTAGTCCCCACTCTGCCGCACAGACTCCATCAACCAGCAGTTCTGCAATGAAACGCAGAAAAAAGGAACAAAAATTATCAGCAAAAATTACACTTCAATTCTTTATTAGCTTACAACATAGAACTATAAAATATGAGTTTCGTCAAGTACTACTACTACTTTATTTACAAAGCACTTAAAAACAACCATAGCTGCAACAAAGTGCTGTGCATATAAAATCAAAACATGAAAATCGCAATAAAAAAGTAAATTGCTAAGCAGAATAGTGATTTGTATATCCTGGTACATTGGATTCTGTGATTATTTATAACACACTAAATAAAAACATACACATTCTCATGGAATATACAATGTCTAAACAAAATGGTCCACAAACATTTGATTTGAAGATAAATTAAAGTAAATTTAAACATTTTCTAGCAAATCATTAAAAACTGGGCTAACTTTTTTTTTTGGCTTCAATATTTTAACAAAGTGAAATCAAACAAAGTGACAATCAGGAGCAAAAGCAAAAAAGGAAATTTATTTGAGATTTTCACAAACCTCAGCAGGAAACAACAGCTGTATTTTGCTTTCTAACTGCCTGGACTGCAGCCACCATGTTAAATGTCTGCAAATTATTTGTAAAGATCACAGATCTGTTCTTTTCGGTGCATAAAAAGTCATAAAAGCATGGTGATTTTCTTTAGTATGAGAAGCAAAAAAAAAAAAAAAAAAAAAACAGTCTGATCCCTCCCAAAAATACTTAGAAAAACAAACAGGGAGGTAATCAGCAGTCACCTCTAACACCCAACACACACCAGAACCCAGGCTGCTGTTGACAATCTATTATTAGGAATTTATCTCCCTCGGTCAATAATAGTCTGGGCTGGAGTGCCTTATTTTATGTTGAGTCAACACCATAGACTTAAATATAAAGATCACCAGACTGAGCCCCGCCCATCCCGTCCACAGGTAGTGTCTGTGACAGCATGGAGGAGCAGAAACAGACCAAACAGGACAACAGCTCACAGCCTCCAAAGAAACTAGTAGATAAACAGCAGCTGAACTGGATCTGTTTCACAGATTATTTGTCATGTTTTTACAATAAATTAAAAACTATATTAATTTCATTCAACAATYATGTAAAACAGCAGATTTATACCAGGAAAATATATAATTTATAAGTAACAATGATCTAAACCAGACCTGAAGTCAGCCTGTAACTTAGACTTTAGCTAGTTGAAAAATTATGACTTCAGCTAGTAATAAAATACCTTTAATATTTATTCTTACTGTCATAAATAATAAGAATAATAAATATTTACCAGTCAACAGTTGTCTCTATTAGCTAACCATCTTCTCAACAGGTCTGGTTCCTCTAACAGAAACCTAAAAATATTTACATTTATAATATTATTTTACACTCTGTAGGTCTAAATATTAATCAGAGGACAAAGAAATATTTAATAGTTTGTGTTAAATTGTATCATGATTCAACAGTACTAAACTCTGTATATATGCTCCACAAGCTAATATCTGTTAACCAGTTCAATAAATAACAGTGATTACATGGACTTTATAAGATTATTTTAATTTTAAACTGTTACATTATGTTCTGCTCAGATCACATTGAGCTAAATAAGATCAAATCTGCTGACTTGTGTTGTAAAATGAGACGTTTTCCTGTTTATCTTCTATTAACAAATCCATAACACAAACAGCTTTTCTGACATTATTTGAAACAGTAGATAGATTATATAAACTGTAAAATATTAATAGTAATTGGATTAATATTATTATTAATAGTTTTAATGATTTCTACATCGTCAGTCCTTTTTTTTTCTCTCTGTTGTCAACATGCACAGCAATGGGAAAAAGTATAARTTTGAGCAACCTGACATTGAATGAATTGTTAATCTCAACAACTTTACAACAGTAATAACCACAAAAAGGATAAATCTGTCACCAGCCAGTTTATCTCTCCGGACAGTCAGGTGAACTCCTAGGTGCAAAGCCAGAGTGAAAATGTCGAATACCTAACTTTCTCTTTTTTTCTCCCTTACCTCCTAGGACAGGGAAATCCACAACAAAGTTCTGCAGCAGCAGCAGCACGAAATGTTTGAGTGCAGACATGAAGCCAGCTGACTGCCTGTTATAGTAAACCTCCAAATACCTTCATCTGTATTTATAGCTCTATCTATACCGGCGGCTGGTTATACAACAACTGTCATTCATGTCTTCTTCCTATAGCAGTTCTAGAAGAACACTCTGAAAGTGTTTCCCTACAGTCATCATCAAACACAAGTAGAGCCTTTCATAAAAGGCCAGAACCAAGAGTTTCTCCTCACCCCTTAACTCTTCAGTGTCCTCTCCAAAGGCAGAATCAGTGTCAAGTTTTTCTTTGCCTCCAACGTCCTTCTTTTCAGCGACAAGTGGCCGTGAGTCCAGCTGCACAGAGTGAAAGTTTGTCCTGCAGTAATCTGTGAAACACTAAACGCTGCCTGAGCTCAGAGCGCCACTCTGCTGAGGATCTGCTGTGAGCTGGTCTAATCAGGCTGAGCGCCCATCTGACCCTGACAGTCCCGTCACCACCAGAACCCTCCAGAGCTAATGCTCTTAGAAAGAGAGACGAAGAGCTACACAACTCCTGCCTGACTCCTCTTCTTCAGATCTCCACCCTTTAGGAACTGCTGTACGCTGGTTTTAATGACGGAGTCGTGTGTTCAGGTCCTGTTTGTCGCCCCCTGCTTCAGGCAGAAGGGCAATCATGGTTTTACCTGAGTGTGGCTGGTGTTTCTCAATCATTGTTGGAGGCTGAAACATTTGTCTGTTAGCAAAATATCACATAAAGAACTGAATGTATGTGAAACTCTTAGAAATTAATCCTCTACAACTGTTTAACTTTTGAAGTCAGTCCAGTCAAGAAGGCCACCGTATGTCTCCTAACATCAGATCAAAATGTCTATAACTTGTAGCAACAACATAAATTGATCCTTRTCTTAAGACGGCAGAAAATATGTTTTCCTTCAAGATATACAGTCTTCTAAATCTCAGTGAGAATTCATTGCAGCAGGACATGAACTGGACCCTGTGTTTTCCCTCTCTTTCCCCTCCTTGAATCTAAAAATAGACGGTGCTTTGAGCTAYGAGACAGGCCGGTGAAGTGAACTTGCTGAGTCTCAGTTAATGGAATTAACTTTCCCTTCGAAGAGACAATTGTCCAACGGTTCGTCTCTTATTGGCGAACAAAGAGTGCAAGCCAAAGCCAGCGTTTGAGCTCTCCATAAAGTTGCCACGCTGCACCCCACACCGAGTGTTTTAGATACGTGAGGACACAGAGTCACATGGCATTCAGAACATACAAAGGACAACAAGTGCTGCTCTCACCTCTTTGTCAGTCGCTTTAAAGTGAGGTTAACATAAATGTTTACTCACTCACAAACCTCTCCTACTGGCTAAAATTAGCTGAAACAAACTCTTAAGAGTTTATCGCTGTAACGTTTTAAAAAAACTCGTGCTGCTGGGGAAGGCAGGCAATCGTGTTGTTGTGTCTCTGTTTTTCTGTTAGCAAAATATCTCAAGAACAGGTGAATATATAAAAAGGGATCCATGATTAGTTGTAACATTAGACTTTATATGATAAACATATACTTTAACTGTAAAATAAAGACTGTAAAAATACTGTTGGATGTTCAGTTTTTATAATTTTTAAACTAAAAGTTTAAAAATATATTACACGGACGGAGCCATTTTATTTACATGCAAAGCATTCTGGGTAAATGATGACAACAACTAGGTCATCGGCATGAGGCTGCTAGCGAGCTATATCCACCCTGAAGGTTAATCTTGGACAATATCTGATGATCGACTCTTTTAAATGAAACCAGAGAGCGTTGACAGAGAGGAGAAGGTAGAAATGACTCAGCCTGGAACTGAAAATATGGATGGAGGACAACAGAGCTGCTTCATGGAAGAAGAACCTCAGCTTAGCCTGTTAGCTTTAGCGTTAGCCCCGATGCTATCACCATATATATGTATTAGCTCAGCGCTACACATTCTCCTCTCGTCACTGAGGTCCTCCATCCACATGACAGAGAGGGGAACGCAAAAATGTCTCAGCCTGCAACTGAGAATATGGATGGCGGACCTCAGTTTAGCTTGTTTGTCGTGCTAGCGCCGAGCTAATACATATAAGGCAATATAGCGTTGGAGCTAGCGTGAAGGCTAACAGGCTAAGCTGAGGTTCTTCTTCCATGAAGCAGCTCTGTTGTCCTCCATCCATATTTTCAGTTACAGGCTGAGTCATTTCTACCTTCTCCTCTCTGTCAACGCTCTCTGGTTTCATTTAAAAGAGTCGATCATCAGATATTGTCCAAGATTAACCTTCAGGGTGGATATAGCTCCCTTGCAGCCTCGCACCGATGACCTAGTTGATGTCATCATTTACCCAGAATGCTTTTCGTGTAAATAAAATGGCTCYGTCCGTGTTAAAATATATTTTWAAAAAATTACAAAACTAAACAACCTAAAGCATTTTTACAGTCTTTATTTTACCGTTAAAATAAATGTTTATCAAATAAAGTTTAATGTTACAAATAATCGGGGATCCCTTTAAATTAAACTTAAAAAGTTATCATTGGACTTTAATTTGCTGATTAACCCTTGAAGTTAACTTAATTCAAGGCTGCCGCAGGTAACTGACCCTAGTAAACAGAAATGACTCAGGACATTTTAGATATTAATCTAATATTTGGTTTTGTAGGTGCAGAAAGTTATCCTTAAAGCTTATTTTGCCCAATGAGGTATATTGTTTAAAAGCGCTATCACGTGACTTTTCGAGAGAGTGGCCATATTGTTCGGGGTGAGGACAACACAACAGTGTTGTTAGCTGGTAAAGCTGAATGTTGTGATATGTTAAATTTAGGTCTCAGCCCATCATTGAAACTCAGTTTCCTACTGACAACCGTTATCCTGATTTGATAGAAATGCTTGTACATATTATCATATCAGGTAAAAACATGTTGCCAAGGTGCACACGTCTGCAATGAATGATGTTTCTAACTAACCAATGAATAACTACTATTTATATGTAATTCTGCTCAGAAATCTAGTCATGATAAATTGTTTACATTGACAGCACGCCCCTTCCAATATGGCGTCGTGTTCATATCACAGCAGTCACTTTTCTGAAGTGTGCATGACGCCTCTCAAAACACCTCACCGACACTACCTGCATGGGTTTTTGTTTGTTAGGCATGCAAGTTAGAGGGCAATATACATCCTTTCAAGAAATGTTAATTACATTGAATTAAGGGGGGAGGGGGGATTATGCAAAGATATTTTTTAGGTTTATATCATGTCATAATGTACATTCTCTCATCAAAAACACACCCAGATTGTTGCTTTGACTCATTCATGCATGTTTGAGAAATCATTAAATCTCCTGTGTTCATGTGGAACTACCTAAATACTTGCTGGTACAAAGCACCACCTATTTGTACAAAACTCCTCCCTGGTGCTCAGTCTGCAGCCGAGCTCCCGCCCCACAGAACATCCCTCCCCTGAAGCATTGTTGTGAGCATATGCTGAAGTGGGAGTGTCAGAAACGGTAGGAGGTTCTTTTTTTTACCTCTTTATAATTCTATCTTCTTTCCTCTCTCTTTTCCTTTTTTTTAAAGAAGAAAAAAAATGTAGGAGGTTCTTTAAGAGAAGAGGCCAATTTCAATGTTTGGACAGACTATGATGCAAAGTCAAATTTATTTTTGATGTTTACAGATATTTATTTTAAAAAAGTGAAGGTAACATAGTTACTTGATTGTGGTATAGAATTGAACTATGTGCCTGGAAAATAAATAATACCCCTCCATAAAAACACACACACACACACACACACACTAAATTTGGTGTTATGGAGTTTGCTTAAAATTTTACCATTATTTGAATTAATCTTTGTTTGTCAGCAAAATATCTCGTGAACCACTGATTAGATTTATATTAAAAAAAAACAGAAATAATCACCACAGCTGATTAACTTTTGTAGTGAGCTCCAATCAAGATGGCTGCCATGCCTAAACATAAAAACAACTATAACTCTGTCAGTTTCACAAACAATGAGCTAAAGTTTGAGGTGGTAGTAGCTGAGAGTCGGTCACAACACATACTTTAGTTGTTCAAGTTTGTTTCAAAAATGTCAAACAAAAATAATGTGTCAAGAGAATAAAAATGAAAGTTGAAAAGTAGTGGGAAGAAGTACAAACTTTTTAATCCCACCCTTCTCCAAAATTTACAAATGTTAGAAGTTCTTTTTTCCTTATTTTGAATTACACAGTAATGATTTCAATAAGATTTAATCAATTATAACTAAATGCCTTAATATAAAATCAACATAGCCTAAAACTCTGGTGAAGGGAAACATGCATTCTGTCATGGAACGTTAGACCATTTCATTTTCAGAAAAGAAAAAAAAAATTCTAGTGGAGAGCTCCAGACACAAATACATTATAGTATGTAGTTAAGTACTGTGAGTGTTGTAATCTGAATAGTGTCTGCACAGTAACAACAGCCCCAAAAACATCATTTAACACACCGTTTTTATTCTTCACTTCAATTTTATGCTGTGTGTTTTTATCACACATAAACAAGTACATCAGTGTGAGACCAGAGGATTATAGCTCAGTTTATAGCTTCTTAACAAAAGGCAGTGTGAGGTTTAAATAGAACTACACGTTGCATAATTCCAGGAATATCCTACCAGGAAGGAATTAGTACAACAACAACCTCACTTATTAAAAAACCATGAGATCTAATTCAGAGAAACAGCAACACTTTAGTTTAAAACTTGTCTTTATTTGTCATTAGAATTTTTTTCTTGTTGATAATTTCCAAATTTTTTCAACAGAAACATAAAAACGTCAAAATTTACGGATAACTCAACAGTAGACAGCTTAAATTTCAATTTCAGTCTAATTGGCAACCATTTTGTTGTTGAATCAATAGATTATTACTTCTTTAATAAGAAACCCACAATTAACACGTTTCAAACAGTACAAAACTCTCTCCCACAGACACAGACTATTTAAATTTAAACCTTGAAGGCAAGAAAACAAATCAGTATATTAAAGAAACACATTGTAGATGTCTTCATTGACAGTTTTATCAATGGTTATCTGACAGGCACTAAACATGCTGAGCTAAATTTGGTGTGGTAGTAGCTGAAAAGCAGCAGGTGCCTTTTATTGTGTTGGAAAATGACAGTTATAAGTATATTGGGCAACAACACATGCGAGATCTTATGCAAACTGTTAGCATTTAGAGTATATGTTGGAAGGGACTCTCAGCTACTACCACATCAAACATTAGCTTAATATCTATAAAATAGTCTAAGTTATAGTCCTTTTTGAATCTGCTAAGGTTGATCAGCTGTGGTGGCAGTATTGGATGTCACTGACTCTGAAAGTCAATCATTTGCAGATGTACATCCTACAACTCCTTTCTGAGAGTTTCATCAGAGTTGCAAAGTAACTAAGTACAAATACTTCTTTACTGTACTTAAGTAGAATTTTTGGGTATCTGTACTTTACTTGAGTAATTATGTTTCAGCCTACTTTTTACTTCGACTGCTTACGTTTTTACACAGTTATCTGTACTTTCTACTCCTTACATTTTAAAAAAGGCAAGAAGAAAGTCATTACTTTTATTTTATTTTTGCTTGTTTTCATTCCAGCTTGTTGTTATAAAAATTAAATACAATCCATATAAATTGTGCCTCCTACATAGAGTGACTTTAACTGTGGTTAAATGAGAAGTATAAATATATAAAATTTTGATACTGTTTTAATTTGTACACA